AGATTTCTGGTCAAATCTAGTTGTACAGTCAATCGCAAAGCTCTTTCCCGTTTTAGATGTGTTTTGTGTGATTTTCACGGCATTCACGCTGAAAATAAATGCTGCCGCTCAGTCTTTTTGCCACTTGTGGGCGTGACCGCATTCACTCCGGCCGACGGTGACGTCATGCGCATACCCTCTATAGTTGTCTAAGATCAGACAGGATGTTAAAATGTTATGGGACATTTATCAACATTGAAAAAATGACACCCAGTTAAAAGGCAGTAATGCTTTTCAGAAGCTAAAGCTGTGTACTGGAGCTGACAGAGAGAGACTTATGACTTATTTGTTGACTTAAATGTTGACTTATTTATGATCTAATGAAACTGTTTCTAGAACAGATTTATTTGGCATGTGCAAATTGTTTTGTGAACGTCGGCTGGGAAATACTCACACTTTTCTGCAATGGGGGCATCGGGCCAGTGTCCTGTCAGTAAACTCGGTCCACTGAAATGTTGAGAAAGTTGTTGAGAAGCTACTGTGAGGCAGTTGCATAAATAAAACACGAATAAACAGCCATCTGATCTTCCACTTTAACTTGACGCTGAAGCTGAGCCGAGTGATTCGGTCATGATGTCAATGAAAATGATACACTGTGTGCGTCCGTATGATGTTGCTGTATTGTGCGTGTGTATGTACCAGGAAAGTGTTGCTGCAGTGTCCGCAGGAAACTCTAGCTCCAGCAGGTTGTGGTTCTGGACTGGCTGGGCCTGGATGGACTGGCCCCAAATTTATAATCCTCTTACTAGTCCACAGACAAGGAGACAAAAACATTGAACTTTTCTCCACATACACAATCCAGATTGAGACAAGAAGTTTATTAGTGTCAAACATTTCACTTGTTTTAAATTTAACTTTGTCTCCTCCTTACCAATAAGGCCGAGGGCAGGCGATCCTTTGGGATGTGACCTTGCAGATGAGAAGACAGTTACAAGGACACCGGACATATTTCTTCCCTGCAGGGGCATTCTTTATGGGCTGGAGAGAATGAAGGTTAATGAAAAGAATAGAAAGGAGAAGAGCGACAGAAAAGAGTTAGTTTTGGTTACCCAAAGATGGTCACATGCTTTAAAAGGTACACTTTAAGGAATTTTCGGAGCGGCTACCAATAGCGGTGAAAGCATAAGATCCCACCCTCCCTTCAGAGCGTCTCCAAAACCCCACCTCCTTCAAAATACATGAGCGCGTACAGAAGGGAGCAAACGAAAGCTTCACAAGAGTCGGCATTAAACTACCTCATGTCTCAAAGCACATAACATTACAATAATAATGAACATAACTTACAGAGCTCTTACGTGTACCACCTGACTGCTGCAGATTCATTTAGGCGTTGATAGTGTTGCCATTTAAACGCATAAATTCGAGTCACAAACCAATTTGAGTATAACGTCACAGATTTCCATCTGTTCCAAATGACAGTGGTTACGGCGTGAAAGTAGCATAAGCTTGTTGTTTTGGTTCAGGAGGAACTGAAAAAGGTGGCTGCTGTTTCGGTGCTCAGTTCACATCTGTCTAACTCTGCATAACATGAAATGCGCTGAAGACCCGTGATGTCTGTGTGTGATAGGCAGGTAGGACATCATATCATTGCATTTGGACCGAATTTAAGGATTGGACGAACATTTTATGGCCCTACGCCTTCCACAGATGATACATATAAATACATTTAGACCACTTAAAATATTGTTTCTGGAACAAACCGCCTACCCTGCCTTTAATAAACAAAACTGTATGCGTCTTGGAGACAAATATTGAAGCCGGAGCTACTTCTCTCGGTTTATGTATATGACGAGTCAAGCATATACTGGGTTACTCCGCAGCGGTCGTCATCCAGCTCGGTCTAAAATAGTCCAAATATAAACACTTATTATAGGTGTACCGTAGTGAATCAGGATAAGACAAATACACGATTTGGAAGGTGGATTAATGATGTACTCGCTCATACAAATTTTGTACATTTTAAACAAAAACATTAGATAGCGCACCTTTAAGTTTTGGGGCTGTCAATAGATTAATTTTTTAAAATCAAATTCATTACATGTAATGCAGAATAATTGCATATGCACTACCTACCGTATGTAAGTTTGGGGTCAGTAAGATTTTAAGAAATGTATACTTTTATTCAGAAAATATGCATAAAATTTATCAAGAGTGCCACAGACTTTTACATTTTTACAAAAAATGTAATAAAATAAATTTCAAATAAATGCTGTTCTTTATATTCATCAAATAATCCTAAAATAGAAAACAGTTATTTTGAATTGTAATAATATTTCACATTATTGGTTTTACTGTATTTTGATCAAATAAATGTAGCCTTGGTGAGCAGAAGAGATTTAAAAACATTAAAAAACTAAATCTTACTCACCCCAAACTTTTGAATGGTAGTGTATCAATATCCTGACAGAAGCCCCAAAACCATCAGACCTATTACATTAGTCTATTAATCAACTACTCAATCTGTACATAGTATTGGCTCTAATAAAACTGTATTGTTTACAGTTATGACAATAACGGAATTTTGAATTGAATCAACAACTGTAGGATGCAAACTAACAACCAATAAACACATATTTTCCCAACTATCCCAACTCACAGTAGCTTCATTGCAGACTCCACACTTGACCACATGTTGGTGGATTTTGCCCTCAACGCTGATGAGCGACTGGCACACCCTACAGCTGATGACTGGGGCACTGCCACTTTCTGGAGATGTCAGGGGGGAATACGGTGGAGGGTTCTCGCCCAACAACATGGGTGGCTGAGTCGAGCTCGGAAACGGAGGAAAACCTAACAAGGGAGAGATTGTCATTCCAGTCTGCACATTCATTAGACTTGGATGTGTCACAATACGGAAGAAAATGTCTGTCACTACTTCAGTTTCATTGAGACTTAATGCTTGAAATGTTTCATTCATACAGAACACCTGTAATGTCTGGATAACAGTGTCTTTAGTTCAACATAGATACTGAAAATATTGGCTCATGAAATTGAGTAAAAGGCTAAAGTTTCATTTACCTCACAAAGTTTAAACCAAACACTGAAACTTCTGCTTTGGGAAAGTGAAACAGTTATTTGTCGCCCAGGCCATAAGGATTAACAAGAAAATCAGATTTGGCCTCGAGATCTGCTGAAAGGAGCTTTGTAAAGAGACTGCTGGAATGTGCCTCATTACTAAAGAAGCATGTAGCCTACATATTTGCCTATCCTTGTGAGGGACAAATCTTAAAAAACAACTCACAAATACAGTGAAAAATGGTGAAAACCCATTTATGAGGATATTTAGGAGTTCTTACTCTTTGAAATACTCCCAAAATCCAAAGTCATCTAAGTAAGTAATATAGTGAAACAACCATTTGTGATAAAACATGTATTGTTTTCATTAGAATGTTTCCAGTATCACCATATCAACACACCACCATCCTCAGGACGCCCTTTAGTAACTTTCTATTGGTACCGCCCACTCTGTGCAATGATTGGTTTGGGTCTCCTCAGCCAATATTTTCAGGCTTTCTGAATGGCCCAAAGATATGCCAATCATGTGTGTTTGGGTGTAGCTGGAGTTCGCGGATACAACAGATTACTGTAAACGTGTAATGTACAGACGCCGACTCGCCGGTAAATGTGGATAATGAAAACCTTTGTACAGCCGTCCCCAGGCATATGTCTAGTTTTAGACAATATTATCTTATTATATTTCGTCTCGGAAAGGCCAATACCAGAACAGTAAACAGACCCGAACAAGCCAACAGTGATGTTCATTCATTAGAGGCTTATCAGCCTCAGAGATGGATGCCAAAAGTGTGCAAGGATCAATTCAACATAGATTTGTTTGACAAAATAATACCATCCACCCAACGCAGTGTATCGTTTGCAACTGCACTATATGCTAAGCAGCAGCATGTAACGTTATCAGCTACAGTATCCGCGCGCGAGCACGTACGCGCACACAATTCATCTGCCTCTCAACCGTGATCCGCCAGAAAATCATCCGTTCGGGTACTGCCTCCATGCCACCAACGTACAAAGACAAGAAAAACAACACATAACCTGCACATAACCTAAATCGTAGTAAATGCACAGGTGTGTGTGTATGTGTGTGTGTGTGTGTGTGCGCGCGCGGGCCCGTGACAGCGCAGAAACGCGCCGCGCTCGCTACTCACTCTGCGGTTTGTTCGGAGCACCATGTGGAGCTGCTCCGGGTGACACCCCGCCGTTCCCACTGCCGAGAGCTCCATCACCGAGATCCGAGAGCAACGGGGACCGCTCGCCGTCCGCCATACCGAGAGCGAGGCGTAAAGAGGGGGAGCGGCGAAAGCTTGTAATGTTGTGCTACCGGAGTGTGTGTGTGTGGACGGAGCCCGCCTGCGTCACACGGGTACGTCCGCTGCTGTGGCAACGCTTGTGCGCATCCGTGCGCTCGGGGGGTGTATTGCATGATACCCCTGAGCAACCGCGCGCGACATGCTGTTCCTCCTGTCACTTACAACCATTTCAAAGATCACTACATTACACAAGAGACGTGTCTTCTCAAAAATGCATGCATGCCAAAATTAAGAAAAGAAAAAAATTAGGAAAAGCAATTTTATGTTTATTAGGCTGAGTATTACAAGAATATGATCGAATAAAGCAGGTGTGCAGTACTGAATATATGAATATACCTGTAAGGACATTTGTTGAGATTTTTAGCAGGCACCTCACCTCTTATTATTTAGTCAGGGCTGCTTTCAGGGTTAAAAGTAACCATGTAACATAAATATCAAATATTAAAATTGCTTACTTTTGAATAAAATCTTGTGTAAATATTTTTGTTCAAATAAATTGTTCCAATATGTCAAACTATATTGGAACAATTTATTTGAACGAAAATATTTACACAAAATATTATTAAAAAGTAAGCAATTTTAATATTTGATATTTATGATCATAAAAAGGGACTTCTTATACAGACACCTGTTCCTTTCCACTTTATCTAAGCTGCTGGTTTGGAAACATTTTAACAGAATGTTTATTTCCTGGTTCTAAAGCTAATAAACCTGCTGATAAGTGAATTGGGTTATGGGAAGGCATTGACCGAAGTGAATTGGATCATTGGGACATATTCATAGGTTATGTTTCCGGGTTGGATCCAAGACTGCCAATGAAAGGCTGTTGAACTGTATCTGTATAGATGTTGTCAACACTGCCGAAGTGTCTCTTCTCATGGTTCAGTCACTCTCTCTGTCTCTCTCAGGTCAGGTTGATGCAGTCCATTGGTCTGTTCATGGGGAGTGTGATCTCCAGTTCTTCCCTCTCCATGATGAATCTGGCATTCCCCTCATGTTTGTGGACTGGGTGAGGCAGATGAAGGCCCAACTTACTGAAACAAAGAATATGCACACATATCTAGAGAGTACTACAGTTGATGGAAAAAGTAAAAAAAATTAGTTAATAGTTTACTCACTACTTTGGAGTTCTGAGGTCAAGAAACATCTCCCTCACATCCAGCACCAAATCAGATGCTTTTGTATCTGGCAGTTTAACTCTCACCTTGCATGATAGAGAGAGAGAGAAATTTTGTGAGATTACATTGATAATACAATTTTTTAAATGAAGAGAAACAGCTCAGTTATTTGAGGACAGACAAATGTTTTCACTCCAATCAGCCTTTGCTCTCTGCTTTTAATGCACCATCAAAGCCAACTCTATCTCTTACAGGAAAGGAGAAAGGATGTTTCAAACCCCAGTCTTTTTTCTTTCTGGTAAATCAAATGACTGAATCTTAAGCTTTGGATCTTTGAAACTTTAAATTAGTTTAAACATTGCTATAAGTTCCACACTTTTTAGAGTTGAGATTACAACTTAACTTATTCAATATTTCTAAACAGCGATGCTAATATGCAGACGTGCTGAGTAACACGAGAATGAACCTCATTGGTTCTTGCGGAAGCTCAAATGTGCAGCGTAACGCAAGAATGAACCTCATTGGTTCTCGCACGCCAAGCGAACATGCTTGAGCTTCTGTTTATCACAACTGATGTGTGAGTTGATGAATCTTTATACGTGAATAAAAGTGTCACAGGTCGGGAGAGTCGACTGGATCTACCCCCTCCCTTGGCCTTTAGAATGTACCACTGAGGAGCAAACCAGAAACCAGGCGGACAAGAAAAGTAAAATGTAACAGGCTTTATTGATTAAAAGAATTTGTATATCCTAATTAAAACTCCTCCTTCCTCCCCAGCATCCAGTGGCCGCCGGGACGTCGGCTGGACAACAGGCGGGGACTCGGTCCATTCAACCCCTCAGACTCTTCGGGTGCCGAGGCTCTCGGCTATGGAGGGGACGCGGATTTGACCAGCAGGTAAGTACTCTAAGCACGGCTTATCCTTCTCGGGCTCTGAGCGGACTGTACTCTTCTCGATCTCCCAAGTACAGAAGTTTACAGCGGTGAAGAGGGGCGTCGACTAGACAGCAGGTGGGTACTTCGGGTACGGTTGGTTCTTCCCTATACAGGGGATGCAGAAAGCTCACGGCTGTGAAAGGGGCGTCGACTAGACAGTAGGTAGGTACTTCGAGTACGGTTGGTTCTTCCCTATGCAGGGGATGCAGGAAGCTTACGGCTGTGAAAGGGGCGTCGACTAGACAGCAGGTGGGTACTTCGAGTGCGGTTGGTTCTTCCCTATACAGGGGATGCAGAAAGCTTACGGCTGTGAAGGGGCGTCGACTAGACAGCAGGTGGGTACTTCGAGTACGGTTGGTTCTTCCCTATACAGGGGATGCAGGAAGCTTACGGCTGTGAAAGGGGCGTCGACTAGACAGCAGGTGGGTACTTCGAGTACGGTTGGTTCTTCCCTATACAGGGGATGCAGAAGCTTACGGCTGTGAAAGGGGCGTCGACTAGACAGCAGGTGGGTACTTCGAGTACGGTTGGTTCTTCCCTATACAGGGGATGCAGGAAGCTTACGGCTGTGAAAGGGGCGTCGACTAGACAGCAGGTGGGTACTTCGAGTACGGTTGGTTCTTCCCTATACAGGGGATGCAGAAAGCTTACGGCTGTGAAAGGGGCGTCGACTAGACAGCAGGTGGGTACTTCGAGTACGGTTGGTTCTTCCCTATACAGGGGATACGGAAAGCCCACGGCAGTGTTGATGACACAGAATGCAAGCGGCTTTAGATGGGGGACACTCAGAACAGCAGATAACTGGATTTCCTCCGTTCTCCAGGACAGCGTCAATGATGAATCAGAACACAGCAGGCTTGGAATGTACAACACTCAGAACAACAGATACCTGGGTTTTCTCCGCTCTCCACGACAGTGAGGATGGAACAGTATGCAAGCGGCTTTAGCTGGGGGACACGCAGAACAGCAGATAACTGGTTTTCCTCCGTTCTCCAAGACAGCATCAATGATGAATCAGTACACAGCCGGCTTGGAATGTACGACACTTAGAACAACAGATAACTGGATTTCCTCCGTTCTCCAGGACAGCATCAATGATGAATCAAACCACAGCAAGCTTGGAATGTACAACACTCCGAACAACAGATAACTGGAATTTCTCCGCTCTCCACGACAGTGAGGATGGATCAGTATGCAAGCGGCTTTAGCTGGGGGACACTCAGAACAGCAGATAACTGGATTTCCTCCGTTCTCCAGGACAGCATCAATGATGAATCAGAACACAGCAGGCTTGGAATGTACAACACTCAGAACAACAGATACCTGGGTTTTCTCCGCTCTCCACGACAGTGAGGATGGGACAGTATGCAAGCGGCTTTAGCTGGGGGACACTCAGAACAGCAGATAAACTGGTTTTCCTCCGTTCTCCAGAACAGCATCAATGATGAATCAGAACACAGCAGGCCTGGACTGTACAACACTCAGAACAACAGATACCTGGGTTTCCTCCGCTCTCCACAACATGTGATGATGGAACAGAATGCAAGTGGCTTAGATGGGCGACACTCAGAACAGCAGATAACTGGATTTCCTCCGTTCTCCAGAACAGCATCAATGATGAATCAGAACACAGCAGGCTTGGACTGTACAACACTCAGAACAACAGATACCTGGGTTTCCTCCGCTCTCCACAACAGTGATGATGGAACAGAATGCAGCAGCTTTAGATGGGGGACATTCAGAACAGCAGATAACTGGATTTCATCCTCTCTTCAGAACAGCATAAATGATGAATCAGAACACAGCAAGCTTTGAAATTCCACCGTCACTTAATCTCTTCCTCAGCAACTCCAAACTGCAACACAGGGCAAGGCTGATGGGCACGTGACAGAATTCGATATAGTAAGCATGCAGTAACTTCACTTCAAACACACACGGTGGGGCACAGCATCAACTCACGTCACTCTCAACCACTCTGTGAAATATAAGGCCACAGCCCACCTCCTTGTTCTGAACAGCAGGGACAGTAAGACGGAAGAATATATAGCGACCTCAATCAGGCATCACAACAGCTGTCTTCTCATTACGGTGTCTAGACTCCTGTTCCTAGATCGCTTCTCTTCATATACAGTATCTTGGTGTATAAATCACATACCAGACGGCCAGTAAAAGGTTTGCACTTATCTCTACCCAAGAAGGGGACTTGATATCTCCAAGGCGACTTCTCCTCTGCTTCTCTGTTCCACACCACCCAATCTTTCGTAGCGGGCTCCCTTCCGCGGGTCGATCTCACCAGTCAATTTGTCCCACAGAAACTCTCAGCCTTCCTCGACGGAACAAAGTCAGGACACAGCACCCGAACACCGAACACAGAACACTGCACTGAACTGTCTCCTTGATCTCCTAAAGCTTGGTTTTTATCTGTTTCAAAGCGCTGTGTGTCCCAATCATCAAACAGCCCCTTGATGCGCCGCACCTGCTGTCACTCTGTCATCAGCGGCTGCTGTTGCCATGGCAGCGACGCATACCAGGCTGGCTGGGTGTTGCGTCGAAAGCGCTCCGGGCGGAAACATTCCTCCGTGGAATATATAGTTCCGCTGCTGGTTCGTCACCTTGTGACATACTCCCCCGCCAATCCGTTCTAGTCCCGAGAACGGGTTCCGCTCTCCCAGTCTCCGTACCTCACCGGGGGTTGACCTCGGTTCTCCCTCTGGGACCGCCTCGGCGGAGACTCGGGTCTCACCGGTCCCGGTGCTGGGCCCAAGCCCCTGGGGACCACTCCCCATCCTACCAGTAACGGTCCTGGTGCTGCCACAACCGGGGGGGCTTCCTCTATGGGATTTGGGTAGTTCGGGCAAGGGCGAATCAGATTCCGGTGGAGCACCCGTTCCGGGCCCGCTCTCCCCTCGGGCCGGATAGCATACACGGGTTGATCTGGGCGTGGTTGTCGTAAGACCACATAGGGCCGAGGCTCCCACCGATCGCTCAGCTTACCCTTCCCCTGGCGACGATTATCCCTCACCAAGACTCTCTCTCCTGGGAGCAGTGGGGCTTCCCGAGCCGTTCGGTCGTACAGTCTCTTGCTCTTTGCCCCCGCCTGGTTAATCCGGTCCGAGACCCGGCCATACGCCCAGTGGAGTCGCTGGTGATGCCTCGCCACCCAGTCTGACAAGCTCCCTTCCTCCACTTGGGTAGCAGCCCCCGCTACTAAGTCGGCTGGTAGCCGCACGTGTCTTCCAAACATTAGATATGTTGGAGCATACCCAGTGGTGCTATGCACGCTGTTGTTATATGCTTGGATCAGTGCCGGAAGCGTATCCGCCCAATGGCCCTGCTGATCCATCTCTAACGTTCCCAACAGGCTCAGCAATGTTTGGTTAAACCTCTCGCATCCTCCATTCCCTTGGGGATGGTACGGTGTCGTGTGGGTCTTCCTACCCCCGTACAGCAGGCACAACTCATGGACCACCCTGGACTCAAAGTTCGGCCCCTGGTCTGAGTGGAATATTTCAGGGCACCCAAAAGGCTGAATCACAGCCTTCCACAAGGCATTTGCGGTGGTGATAGCAGTTTGGTCCAAGGTGGGAATGGCCCAGGCATATTTGGTGAATAGGTCTGTCACCACCAAGATGTTCTGGATCCGGTCCACCGGCCTTCCCAGCGTCAGATAGTCCATGGCGACCATGTGCATGGGAGCCTTTGCCTGAATCGGGACCAATGGGGCTCGGGTCTCCTTCCTGGTCTTAAACAGGGTGCACCGGGGGCATCCCTGAAGGTAGGCCTTGGTAATCCTCTCCATCCCAGGCCAATAGAACTGGCGTCGCAATAGCGAGATCGTCTTCTCCAGGCCCTGATGGCCCAACTGGGTGTGATAGGCCTGTAGCAGGGACCGATGTTGCCCCTCCGGAACTACTGTTTGCCAGATCTTCTCGCCCAGGTTAGGGTCCTGGATGGAGCGACAGAGCACCCCCTCCCTCAAGGCCAACCTTCCCCATTGTCCTAGCAACCCTCGGACTGCCTGAGTCTGAGCCCGGCGTTCTCTGGCCTCTGGCCATTTCCCAGTCTGGACCCACTCTCGTACCGTCCGCAACCCTTCATCCTCCGCTTGTCTCGACCTCCAACACTGTGGGTCCCAGCCCCAACCATTGGG